GCTGAGAATATGTATACTTGACAGATACGCTGTGATGAAAATGGCACTTTCCCTCTGTGGTCTTCCTTCCAATAACCTATAAACCCAGACTTATCCTGAGAGAAACATCAGACACATTCTAATAGTGGAGAATCCTATTAGATACCTGACCTGTACTTCTCCAAACTGTCAAGGTTATCAAAGCAAGCAGAGCCTGAGAAAGTGGCTAAGAGCCTAAAGTGATATGATAACGAAATCTAATGTGGTATCACAGTTGGGATCATGGAACAGAAAAATGATTCTAGGTTAAAAACTAAGAAAATCTGAATAAACCATGGACTTTAACTAATAATGATGTACCAGTATTAGATAGTTAATTATAACAAATACACCATACTAAATATAAGATGTACTAATAGGAGAAACTCTGTGTGGGGTATAAGGGGACTCTGTATTATGTTCCCAACTTTCCTGTTAATCTAAAAATCTTCTTAAAAATAAAGTCTGTTAAAAGGAAGAGAGGAAAGGGCAAGAGGAGAGTTGAAGCAGATGCTAATTTTTTGAATAACAACAATAAGATAAATGCCTTCTTTTTTGCTTAATAATAACTCAAATACCAAAAAGACTTCAACTAAACATTTTACTACCACTGGACTTCTAAGTAGGATATATATTAAATGCTCTTCATAGAGTAGATAATTTCTGAATTGAATGGAAAGTAATTACTGACTTCATTTTTGGACTGGAATGACTCAGCCTTATAAATGGCTTATTCCTTAGACATTAAAAATTTTTTTTGGATTATGGTATAGTGTAACAAGCATTGGCTTTGAAGATCTGGCCCCAGTTTTGCCATTTAAAATCTTTTAGACTGATTTTCCTCATTTGCATATGGTACATTATCATAAAAAAAAGTTAAAGCATAATGAGTGTGAAAGTTAATTAAAAGGCTGCCCATATAGTATTGGCCCAGGTGTACTGACAACTGACAGTGTTAATAAGTGAGCAACACATTGCTGTACATACATAGAGATTAAGGGAATGATTTATTAAATTAGAAAGAGAATAAACTTGTTGCAATAAAATCTATAAATGCGATACTGAAGAGCTACTACACATTAAGTTTTGTACTAGATGGCATGGGGAAATGGAAGGACATGACAAGCACAGAACAAGGAAGGCACAGTTTTATAGGTGGGGTAATAAGAGGTAATTATCCAAAGCAAATCTGAATTATTGTTAGACTGCAGGCCAGTTTAAATAGACTGAATATATACTGTGCTATTCTTTGTTTATATATATTTTATGTTTATATATATTTATGTCATTTATATATATATTTATGTCATTACAGGACATCATGGAATTGCTATGGCTATTGGACTTCACACAGAAAAGCTACTAATCTTATTTTTCAAATTTCTAAGCACTTTAATTTGCTTCACAGAAAACCATCTCCAGTATGTCATACTTTCAAACAAAATTTATGAATTTGTTGCACAAACAATGCTACAAAGAAAAAAATGTAAAAGGAAAAATTAAACCAAAATTCTACATCCTAATTTATCAATTGTTTTCACTTTTTCTTATTCCTTTTCAGTCCCTAATCATGTGGCATGGTCGTTATGATTAGGCTTGGTAAATGTTCAGGGTTATAAACCCTGATGTGCCTGCTAACTGGCTAGTCATGGGAATTAAAGAGCTATTGTTATCACCAGGAACAGGGAAGTTGGAATCAGTTACCAGTTCAGCCCTTATTTACTAAATTTCTCCAAACACCCAACTTTCCCTTTCTCTATTTACACTTCTGAGATAAGCTGGACTACTGCTTTTTTTCTTCTTCAGATTTTTAAAAATTTAAGTATAGTCAGTTTACAATGTTGTGTCAATTTCTGGTGTACAGCATTGGCTACTACTTTTTAAAAACAACTGCAGCTTTGCTTTTAAGGAACATCATATATTTAAGAGAGATTGTTAATCTGTCAATTTATGCAAAATTCCTTTGAGACTCATACCTCTTGGGAGAGGAGATAACAGTAACAATTTATTTCTCAAGTAACATTGACTAGTTTTACTTATATTTTAAAGCTTGGGTTGTTTGGAATAAAGACTAGAACGACCAAATAACACATGTCAGTAAACTCTCTGAAAGTATTGGCTAGCTGATTTTTTTTTTTTACCGTGATCCTCATTTTGCAGACAAGGAAACTGTAGTTATAACCAAACTACCTAGGCTTGCAAAGTTAACAAGCAAAGATGCTGTAAAATCTGCCAAAGACAATCTCTCTTCACTGGTCAGCCTTCCATTCTGCAGTATGGACTGAGCTCAGCTGACAAAGTCACTCCCAGGACGTTAGGCATATTGTCTGTTGTCAGATATGGCACATCAGTTTCCTTTAACCAATGCTCTCAGAATCTTTGATAAAAGGTCCTTTGATAAAGCATTACAGCAAAAACCATGTAAATGTGAGTAACAGGAATCTTCATTTTAGAAACTCCATTAAGCATCAGGTTATGTAATTGGCTAAGCATCCCTCCAGGAAATAGATCACAGCATAATGGATGGCTATGAAGGCATGAATGTAAAGGCAAGGCTGGTTTTTAACCAACACACAACTGGTAAGATTGTGTTGGTGGTTAAAACTGAATATGGCTTGCTACCCACCCACCTATGCCACTCACATGCCCTGTCTTGGCTCCATCACCCAGACTGGTCCTAGAAACCTAGGGTCAGTAGGTTTCTTGAGTATATGCTAGGTATACTCAAGAAAGGTATTTCTGGAATTACAAGGGAGTAGACCACTGTAGGTGGAACTTGCGTAGCAGCAACCAAGTTACGTACTCTAAATCTTCTAAGGACCTTAGTGTTCCCTTAAGAGAGTGAGTCATATTGTAACAATAACACATTGTTATGCTGCACAAAGAGTAATCAGACATAGTCCCTTCCTTCAAGGAGCTCTAAATCTGTTGTGGAGATACACAATGCAGCACAGTACAACAGAAGTAAAGAAGGGATAGAGTAAGTGTGGCGGGAGGTTGCAAGTGTAGAAGCACGAAAGAGGGGTACCTAACCCAGTCTTGGGAATTAAGAGAGAGCTTCCTGGAGGAGGCAAAATCTGAGCTGAATTCTGAAAAATGAAAAGCACATCCCAGCAAAGAGGTGTGGTCAAGAATGGGAAAATGGAAGTATGGGAACTCTACAGGGCAATTATGATAAATAGGACAAATGGTGACAAGGCCCTATTTCTTAAGCCCCTGGAGAGTTCGCTAGGAGCATAGCTATACTCTGGGAATAGTATACATACATTGAATACATGCCCCAAAGATCTAATGTACTTGAGAAATAAACACATATGGGTAGGCGTGGATTTTGAGGATAGCTCTTGTTATGCACCTTTCTGAGATCAGTCTTCTCATCTGTAACAGAACTTACTTTGAAGGGATTTTGTCAGTACGGAACTTTTTATCTCATAAAAGGTCAGTATTGTATAGAAATAATGCATATTTTGAAGCTATGCAGGCTGAGTTTGAATTTAACTTTGCTATCTACTGCCTGTGTGGCCTTGAACAAAGTACTTCCACTTCCTGGCTCTGTTTTTCCATCTACAAAATGACCATACTCACTTCACAGCACTATGAGGATTTTATAAGGCAAGGCTGATGTTTAGCCAACACACAACTGGTAAGACTGTGTTGGTGGTTAAAACTGAATTATTTTCATATGAGTTGGATATAGCTACTCCCCTGAGAACTTGAGAACCTCCTCCCCTCCCCTCTCCTGGACCCAGGACCCAGGAACTCATGATCCAGCAATTAGAGGACTTACGCCTGGCAGAGCAAATCCTGGCACAGAAATCTCTACAAATATTCTGATTGTACCAATGATTTAAAAGTTTGAAAATCATTCAAAAAATAAGTAATGTAAGTGAAGTGTTTGGCACACAGTGGATATTCAAGAGGTATTAGTCAAATGTATTTAATCTATGGAGTCAATCTGTGGGTTCAGATAGGGAATAGTCTTCTACTAGGTGACAGCCATTTATTCAATATATACTTATTGGGACTTACTATAATTGAGGGTCTGATTGTTTGCATCTTAAGTGGAACTCATTGCTTCTCTGCCACCTCCAAGGAGTAGAAGCACTGATATAGGCTAATGCAAAATGAATTCTCTGGGGACAAATCAGGACCAAGGTGCCAAGAGTTAGACCTTTCACTGTGGCCAAGCAGAGGGTTAAATGTTTGAAGATCAGAGGTGCACGGTGTCTTTTATGAATCCTAGCCTCCTTGGCTTGGCTCCATGCAACTGCCTAGTGTGGAAAATAGGTGCTTTGGAAAAACTCTTACACGTGTCTCCTCTCTTTCCTCACATCACTGCTCACACTGATCACTTCTGGCCACCAAATGTGTGTGACATTTGGGATGGTGGGGTGGAGATCTCACATCAAACATTTTTTGTTATTGTGAGCAATTAAGTTTTGGGGTTGGTTTGTTACATAGCAGTAGATAACCAGAATATGCCCAAAAAGCCACCAAATAACATTCTTTTTGCCTACCCTTGTTCTTCCTGGAAATAATTCCCCCAGAAAACCCTTGGCAGAGATGGGTATCTAGGTTGCACTTTTTAAAAATCTTTCTTCTGTAGTATTTTCCTTAGTTGCCTAGCATGGTTGGCAGGACATGGGCAAGGTGCAGGGTAATAAGTACTGAACCCACTGTCGTCAAGTTGTCCAGGGCATCACACAGAGGACCATCACCACATGTAGCTGTAAGAGTACAAGTTCTGAACCCAGACTCCTGTGTGGAATCCTTAGTTCTGGTGGCCTCTATCATGGGAACCAAAAAGACTCTTTTTGTCTCTGTCCTAAGCCATGTGAATAGAGCATAAGGCCTCATTAGAAGTCAAAGAATTGCTTCCTAGACCCTTTTTCACAGACCCCATACCTTTAGCATCTTTCAGCTCAGGCCATTATGCCAGAAGAGATACATAAAAGTCACTTAAGAGAATATGCACAAAGGAAAAGAGGCATATTTGCTTTAATATGGCTTCTTTTGTACTCCTACTACCTCTTAGTAATATGACCAGTTGTACTTATTTTCAGCTGACATACGTCCTAGCTCCTCCTCCCTGGCAGGTGGAGGGTTGAAGACTTCCTCCAAGCTCAGACTGGATTTCTAACATCAGGCACTGTGCCAGGCAGGAGCAGCTGTAGCCTGTGGGCACCTGTTTTAGTACAAACTAGAAGCCAACAATGGTTTTTGTATTTTTAAATGGATGAAAAAAAATAAAAGAAAGAGTAACATTTGGGGATATGTGCAAAATAAGTGAAATTCAAATTTAAGTGTCCATAGAAATGGTTTTTTGGAACATAATCACGTTCATTTGTTTACGTATTGTCTGAGGCTGCTTTCGTACTATAATAACAAAGTTGTGTAGCTGCAACAGAGATGGTATGGCCCACAAAACCTAAAGGATTTATTATCTGGCTCTTTACAGAAAAAGTTTGCAAATCCTGGTGCTAGGCACCAGGGACATGCCCTCAAGAGGCGTAGCAGCAGCAGTTGGATAACTGCCTCTTTTCTCATCCAAAATACTTAACATCGTAGGATGGTTTGAGGTCATCTAGACCAATGCTTTCATTTTACCCTTCTCTCCACGTCCTAGTTGAAAGATGAAAAACTGAAGTTCAGAGATTCACAGGAGTTTCCCAAGGTTATAGTGATTTATTGGTAGCATAGGGACTTAAACATAGGTCTCCCTAATCTTGGTCACATGCCCCTGTCTATTAATCCTCCCTGAATCCAAACATCTGTTGTATTAAAGTGAGAAAAGATCTTGGACAAGGAACTTACTTTCTTACCTGTTGCCCTTTGATAACATGAAGACTTTGGACTTAGGAACTCTACAATTCCTTCAACCTTGGTATGCTCTGCTTTTAAATGAGATAATGCCAACAACAACAACACGAGGCTAGGATTCAGAAGCCCTGAATTTCAGCTCCCGCTACTTACTGGCTGGCTGTCCTTGGAGAACTTTTGGCTTTGGTTTCATCTGTAAGATGAGTATATTAGTATAGCAATGACACTAAATCAATAAGACAGTAATTATGACAGGGCTCAATAAAAAAGCAAAAAGGGAACATTTTGAAGCAATATGAATAATAAGTTATCAATGATAAGATTTCTCTAGCTGTGATAATTGAGCTATTCCATTCCTTCTTCCATGGTGGGGAGGGAAAGGTAGGAAGTAGGAATTTAAGGGAGAAGGGATTAGAGGTGCAAAGAAAGAGGATGGGAGAAGAACAGGAAAGGAGAAATAGATGGGAGAAGGGGAGGAAGTTAGAAATGGGAAAAGGCGGGGTGGAGGATTGGGAGTAAGTAAATAAAAAAGAGGAGGAGATGGGGGAAATGATGGAGAAGAGGCTGAACATACTGCGTGAGGGAAGAGGAAAGGGGTCAGACAGGGAAAAGGAGAGTGGCAGTCGCCAAAAGGAAGGCTAGACCACCATCCACCCCTCCTGTTTGTATCATTTGCCAACATTCCTGCATTCTGTCCTCAACAACTTAGTTCCTCTCTTGTAGTCTCTCTCTTCATGCCAATACTAGCTCACTTAAACTTCTACTTGGATAATAAATTGAACACCCTAGCCTGTCAGTTCTAACGGGGTGTGCATCTGCTTCAGTCTTCCATTCCCTTAGGCTTACCCTGGACTTTAGCATCAGCAGAAACTCTCAACCTCTGACACTTCGGTTCCAAATACCCGACTCAGACCACTAGCATTTGTACTGCCCACTCACATGCTCAAATATTTCACTGCAACCATTCTTGGACACCAATGCTTCTAATACCTTGGCCCCTTTCCCAGCTCCCCTCCACCTCTCCGCTATCAGCCCTCACATACCACCATTTGCTTTTCTGCATGACTTTGATTCTGCATACATCATCATAAACATTCTCTTGCAAACATTCCCTTAGTCCTTCTTCCACTCTGTTGTACTTGCCTGGCAAAACCCCCGTCTCAGATGAATTCAACAACCTGTCCTCTCCGCACCTGAACGGTCAAATATCTTCAATTATTTTATTTCCATGATGTCAAAAACCAAATGAGCTCTTAATAGTGCCCAGAAGTCCCACTGATTAGTTTTCTTTAGAAAACCAAATTTTCCAGTTGCAAAGATGTTGATTTTATACATTCTCTCTCCTAAACATCCCACTCCCTTCTCCTTACCCTCAGGTGATATGGCCCTTTCTTTTCTGAGAAAAGAGAGAGAGAGGAAAAAAAAAATCAGACAGAAAGCCTTCCTACCTTCAAACCTTCCTGCAACTCTACCGTTCTTGAAATTCCTGTTAAAAATGAACATCTTCCTCTCTAAGACCTTTTAAAGACACCTGAGGCCCTCCACCTCAGATCACTCCTAGCAGCTTAAATACAAGCTCAAGCATAATGCTGACCATTGTTTGTGATGACAGAATGTTCTGTATTGTGCTATCCAATAGTTTCCACTAGTCACACGCAACTACTGAGCACTTGTTATTGTAACTAAGGAGCTGAATTTGTAATTGTTTTTATGTAGTTAATTTAAATAGACACATGTGGCTAAGAGCTACCATATTAGACTGCATGGCTCCTACCTCCCATCACTTCGCTTTGACCCTTATTCTCTCTATTGTTCTCATTTACTCATCTCCTATCCACTCCTCTTTCCATTTGGCTTCAAATTAAATATAGTGTATGATCTGCTTTGGGCACAACTGTAGAGTTCATAAGTCCAGTCGCCCAGCACAATGTTCAGTACTACACCACCGCAATCCCATTCCAAATATTCTCTTCTCTTTGCCGGAATACCACATTCTCCTGGTTTTCCTCTTACCTTTCTGGCTCTGCCTTCTCAGATTCCTCCTCCTCTCTCCAACTTTTAAAGTTCTGTTCACCAAGACTCATTACTTGTCCTCTTTTTCTTCTCGAGATTTTTCCCTAATGCAGGGGACAGGGAAATGGAGTTATAGTTATAAGGGCTTTCTGTTGCCATTACCGTATAATCCAAACTCCTTTCCTTTACCAAACGGCCTAAATGACCTGCCGTCAGCCTAACTCTCCTTTCACTTTCTCCCTCCTCGTTTCACACAGCTCTGATCTCACTGGCCTTTTAATTGCTCTAACAACTGATTAGGGTTTTTACACACGCCTGAAATTCTCTCTTCTTAAGGGACACTCTATCTTAGTCTTTGCCTGGTTTTGCTCTTTCTTATCTTTTTATCTAGGCTTATATATTACCTCTTCAGAGGTCCCTGTCTTCCAAATTGCATTCATGTCTTGTTAATCCTCCGTTTTGTTCCTTCAAAGCCCATATCGCTATTTGTATTATTCATTTATTCGTGTATTGACTCGGCTGCCTGCCCCCTGGAATTTAAACTTGGGAGGAGAGACAATGGGTTTTGCTCTCCCGTGTGTCTCGTCCCAAACTCTGGCACAGGCCCGACACAAGAAGGCGCAGGATAAAGTACCCGCGGACTGAACGAATGCATGAGCCAGCAGAGGGGCGGGGAGCACGCGGGCGCAGACCCGCGTCCTGGAAGCCGAGACGCTACCGAAGAGCAAGCAGCGGAAGCCCCGCCCCTTCCGCCCGCCGCGCGGAC